TCTACTATCAATCAACAACACATACTTATTAGTAGAGTACCTTGTAGAAGATCTTCCATCCCCTGCTAGATCATCTAAGTGTAGTTTTGGTAGAACATATTCATCACCCCGTTTAACTATCTAATCCTAGACATCACTCGATGCATCATCATGAATCTAATTATTGTTTTACGAGTCATTATCATTTTATGAACCCTATTTAGTTTGCGAATTATCTTGCACATCATGTTCAACTAGCTCGATTCATTGGTATAGAATAAACTAGCTCAATTGGCTCTATATCTACTAGATCACCATAAGACTCGGTAACTATCTACTCTGTCTTCTCAATATCTTGCATGCTCGATCCTCCATAAATATAATATCATGACTTCGACTATCTACTTTTCAATTGGATCATATAGCTTATAGTCAAGCTCATCTTGACCATACCCTAAGAAGATACACTACTTTGTCTTCACATCTAGCTTAGATATCTTAACTTTAGAAATTGGCATGAATGTTTTGCACCTAAAAACTTTTAAGTGATCATAGGATACATCTTTACCAATCCAAACCTTATTTAGAACATCAAATGACAAAGGGGCACAAGGTGAGAGATTTACTAAATAAACAATAATATTTAATGCCTTACCCTAAAATGACTTAAGCAGTCACACTTGAAAAATTAAGCATCCGACTCTCTCAACTAAAGTCCAATTCATTCTTTTAGCCAACCCATTCAATTAAGGTGTCGTTGGTGGAGTCTTTTGATGTTTAATGCCTTAAGTCCTACAACACTCATCAAAAGGGCTCGAATATTCACTACCATTGTCTATTCGAATACACTTAAGCTTCCTCTCTATTTGCCTTTCTACCAAAGCTTGAAACTCGCTTGAAAACACCAAAAACTTGATTTTTTGATCTCAATGTATAAACCCATACCTTCCTCGAGTAATTATCTATGAATGTCACAAAGTAATAAGAACCACCTTTTGACATTGTCTTCATAAGACCACACACATCCGAAAGTACTAGCTCAAGAGGATTCTATTTTATTATAGGTGGATGACTATTAAAGGAAACTCGTTATGTTTTTGAACCAAGCAATGTAGATACTTCTTCAAGTAATTATCCTATATCTTAGATAATAACCTTTTTTTTCAATACTCGCTATGCCTTTCTCGGTCATATGAGCCAATCTCTTGTGCCATAGTTCGGTAACTTCCTCACCCTTAACAACATTCACATCCTCATTCAATAATTTAGCTTGCATGACATATAAAGAGGAACAATTCTCTCATTTTGCCACTACTTATAGAACCCCTTAGACAACTTTCACATTTCATTTTTTAATGTATTGCAAAACCCTTCATAATCAAGTCTTCCAACGGAGATTAAATTTAAGCAATAGTTAGGAATAAGCTTCACATTCTTTAATACCAATTTTACTCTAGTATGAGTCTCTAAGTACATATCTTCAATGCTAGCGAGAGTTAAACAATCCATTGTTGCCAACCGTCATTGCCCCAAAATCACCGGGCATGTATGAGCTAAAAAAACTCCCTGTGACATGTAGCATGTTCCGAAGCTCCACTATCTACTATCCAACTATGCTCATCCGATGCTATGTTAACTTTATCGGTATCATATATAATTAGGAACTCATTAGTTGCATTAACTTGATATTCATCAACATCACTATCATTCTCGCTTTATTTTATTCTTTTTATTATCTTTCTTTAATTTTTAATAATATTTCTTGATGTGACCTAGATCACCAAAATAATAGCACTATACGTTTGTAAACTTGCCTTGGACTTGCTTTTACTCTTATCTTTGCCTTTTGGACCTTTACTTTTACTCCCTTTTTCTATAATAACTAGCACATCGGACTAGAAAAAAGAATTTTGAGTCTTCCTTCTAGCCTCTTCTTTGAGAACCCCATTTTTAGCATAGGTCAAGGTTATCTTTCCATCGAAGTAGAATTATAGTGTGAAGTACGAAATGTCTCCTAAGAATTCGGTAATGAGCCAAGCAAATACAACCTAAGGACCTCATCATCAATTTCTTTTTTTATGGCTTTCATTTGCTAAACAATTCATCCATTCGCTTAATCAAATACATCTTGTTATTTCTAGTTTCCTTAGCAAAGAGATCTTTCAAATTTTTTCACAAAGTTTTAGCATTCATCTCTTATGTAACATGATTAAAAACATTATCATCAATGTACTGAAAAATAAAAGCACAAACTTATTCATTCTCAAATTTCCAATCCTCATCTATTTTTGCCATAGGCTTATCTGAAGCAAATACAAGAAACCAACTCTGTACATATAACGGATCTTTCATTTTTCTCTTCCATATGTGATAATTGGTTCCATTCATTTTAATGTAACTCTTCATATTGTTCAAGCCAAGAATAAGCAACCAAGCTTTGATACCACTTTGTTGGATAAAGAAACTCAAATAATGTAGCGAAGCTCTTTACCCTTGTTTGAAAAATCAAATAACAACTACAAACAAATACCTAAGACAAATCAAGTAACTAATAATTTGAAAAACAAAATACTAATCACACAAAAACATAGGAATTTTATGTGAAAAACCTCCTCAATTTAAGAAGGAAAAATCATGGGATCGGAGTCTACAAAGACTTCCATAATCAACAATAATGGATAATACAAGAAATCTTCTCTAGATTAAATTAGAAAAATAAATTAGTCACAAGCATCAAAGGTTACACGAGCCTTGACAAACCTCATCAATAGATGATACACAAAGAAAATAGAAGAAACCAAGTTCGGATTTTATCGAAAGGAACAACTGTTGTGAGCATCTTATCTCACTCTCCAAATTTTAAAACTAGATTTACACCATGCAAAATTTGTGTCTATCTCTTCCAAATGTGCCCATCAAATTTGAGCTCGATCCAATGATTAAGAAATTCAAAAACTCAATTTTATTGTGATCGGTCACGTATCGAAACTTTCTTCGTCTTTCTCTTTAAAGTTACGACTCTCCCTCCTTTTTTTCTCTCGTCTCTAGTTTCTTCCCTAATCTGGTATAAGAATTAAAAAAAGGAGGGTTTTTAAAAAATACCTAAATTACCCTTCAAGTGATTAAAAAATCCTCCTCTACATGGACTCTAAGATTGGGCTTTTATAAGCAAGCATTTGGGCCATCCTCCAACTAGGAGGGAGACCCGACAATTTCTAGCTTGCACTAGTTTGATCTATGTATCGACTTTTATTGCCATGCGACGATAGTGTCAAAAAACTTTTTTAAGTTAAAAACTTGCACTAGTTTGATCGGAGAATCCACTTCCATTGTCATGGGATGATAGTGTCAAAAAAACCATTTCAACTTAAAGGTTTAAGCTGCTAGGTGAGACTTCAAGATTGATTTTATAATACTTTATAATACAACTCTTCAAGTTAAAGCTAGAAAAGAGAGTTAGGTTAGCAAGATTCGAATTCGTAACTCGTTTGAGACTTCAAGAATGGTTTTATATTACTTTTTAATACACTTCTTCAAGTTAAAACTTGAAGAAAAAGTTGAGGTAACAAGATTTAAATTTGTAATTGTTTGGTCATTAAAACTCGATACTATGTCAAAGAATCATCTCAATTCAAAAATTTAAGCTATTGGATGAGACTCTAAGAATAATTTTATATTACTCTCTAATAGATAACTTACCGTGCCTCTAATAATGACAAAGTAACCTCATTTGCTGAGTAAGCCTTGTGCGTGTTTGATGAAGGATCTTGTTCAAGTTGATTTCTTCCCATGAAAAATCCAGGCTGTTTAGGCTGAGTCAATGGATTTTCACTGCTTAACATTAGAACCACGGTTGACATGTCTGGCCTATCTTCTGCCCGTTGTTGAACACATAACAGAGCCACATGAATGCATCTTAATACTTCAGCTTGGTTGCACAATTCTGTCAAACAGCCATCATTCAGGTCCAACGGCGTCCCTTTAATCCATAGCATCCATGCCTGAGACAAAACGAGGCACCATGTTAGTATTCAATGCTGGTCTTTCTGATTTGACTATAAAACATAGCATTCATGCCTGAAACAATCCGTTCAATTTCACACCACAATCTCTTCTTAAAGATTATTATATTAATCATGTGATTATAAAGCTTACGTGACCAAGAAGGTTAAGGTTCTGGTCTGGAAGACAAAATCCCCTGTTTTTCTTTCCGCTCACTATCTCTAGGACTAGGACACCGAAGCTAAAGACATCTGATTTCTCAGAGAAGTGTCCATCCAATGCATACTCAGGAGACATGTATCCACTGCAAAAAGTTACCACAATGTAATGAATTTCTCGAAACACAAAGAAAATCAATTGCACAAACAATAAGGATACTTACTATGTCCCAACTATCCTATTTGTGTTGGCCTCAGTTTCATCTCCACCGAACATTCTTGCAAGTCCAAAGTCTGAAATTTTTGGGTTTGATTCATTATCCAGTAGAATGTTGCTGGCTTTGATATCTCTATGGATGATTCTCAGTCTAGAGTCTCGATGAAGATAAAGAAGCCCACGAGCTATTCCTCCAATAACTTTGATACGTTTACCCCAATCAAGTAATTTTCTTCTCGTTTGATCTGACCATTAAGTCATCCATGTTAAGTCGATAACTACTTCAGTTGACATCGAACAAAGTGAATAAATCAAAAATGAAAAAGCTAAAACATATGTGATTTGGACAGGGTCACACCAAAAATAAAGAAGTCCAAACTTCTGTTGGGCATGAACTCATAGATTAGCATCTTTTCATCTTTGTCAATGCAACAACCAAGAAGCTTTACGAGATTGCGGTGCTGAAGTTTAGCAATTAATGAAACTTCATTTTTGAACTCGTTCAATCCTTGGCTAGAACTCTTCGATAACCTTTTTACTGCTATTTCCTGTCCTTCCATCAACGTACCCTAAGTCATCATTCACACAGCTCAATCAGTTTTAGTTAGAAGATGGCTTGCAGATGTAGCATACTATTATCTTACCTTAAATACAGGTCCAAAACCACCTGCTCCTAGCTTGTTACTGCTGGAGAAGTTACCAGTGGCATGTGCTATTGTGCTCAAATCGAATATTGGTAACTCCATATCATCTTTCCTTTCCACACAGTTGTCGTTGTTCCTAAGATTTCTCTTCCGCATGAAAAACATCATTCCTAACGCTAACATTCCCATGCCCAATATAACAGAGATGGCAATTATTCCTGCTTGCTTCTTCTTACTTAAGGCCCCTTTTTTCTCTTTTAAAACTGAAGAGAAAAAAAAAAAAAACAGTTAACAGACACTAGACATATGCCCTCGTTCAAGAATATTCGTTGACAAAAGTTAAAAGTGAATGTGCAATTTTTGTTGCAGCATTGAGGGGAAACTAATTAAGAAAAAGGAAAGTGGAAGTTTATATTAATGAAGTTGCAGAGATGTCAGATGAGGCTATAGTTTTATTGCTCTTGTTTAGGCTTTATGAAACCACCATAAACCAGAAAAATGTTCTTCACTTTCTATCCATGCTGGTGGTCAGTGATCAGAAAATATAAAGTAATGAGAAAATTTAGTAAATACCAAATTGACAAATTGGAACACCTACCTAACTCTGAAGCAGTTGTCCGTATATAGAGATATTGAGAACCGTCACTAAGTCCTCTTATATCAAGCAGGTCACCAAACCAAAGCAAGCAGCCACTGCCATCTCCGCTAATATCTAAATTTGCATATGCAGAGCAAGAGCAGTTCTTCAAACACATTATCTGGCATTCCTTGAGACCAATGGTCTTGTCAAACCAGGAAAAAGATGTGTCTGGCAGTTTAATCTCGGTATAATTCAGGAAGCTATCATTATCATGGCAATCAACTGGTGTGCTCAGAACACACCCAGATGACCAATCCCCAAAATCCCAATCTCTTGGATACTTCGGTTTGAATCCATCCAAGCATGAACATGCAGGACTTTTTTTATGTCGCAGCGAGCATATGCACCACAAATTGCATATCTTTCACAAAAATCTGTCTCGTGTATAGAGAAAACCAACCAAGCATTAGTTTCGTTACTCCAGGTGAAGCGCTGCACAATCCCTGATGGATACAGAGTAAACCTCGAAAGTTCTGAACTTTTATGGAACTCATACTTGAAATATACCTCATTCCCATTGATCACAAATTCTGCATCTCTTGTATCTAGTTGGAGCCCAGGAAGCCCCGTAAGTTGTACGCCATTCCCCCAATCTGTACTCTGTATGAGGTCCCCTCCTAAGAGCAAGCTGTGGATACCCTTGAATATCTATTTCTAAAGTGAATTGGCCTTGAGCAGGATCTTTTGTGCTCTTCCAAGATGACAGATACGTTTTAAGACCAGTTGCTAAGTTGCTTCCCAGTTTCATTCCAGGCAATAAGGTGTCACAAGGATAATCAAAACTCTGCCATAGAAAGTTCTCAAGGTCACTATCATTTCCATTTCTTACCACAAGATTTCCAGAGTCCAAAAGCTGTGCCACGGCATTCTGATCAGTCGTTGATATATTTGATGACCAAACAATATTGTTTGTGCTATTGAGAAGGACAAGAATACCTTGGGTAGTGAAGTTTAGAGCTCCTAACTTATTCGAAATTGGAACTTCTCTGTTGGCTACCCAGACAACTGTCTGAGGCGACTTCTTGTACCATAATCCCAAGTATCGACTGGTTGAACCTGCGGGGCTAAAAAATCCAAGCTCAAAGCTTCCACCGGTTGAAACTAGAGTCTCCCCATCTCTTATGGATTGGGTTGCGTTGATTGTATCTATTGCAGCGGAGATTTTTAACATGGAAAAGAAAAGGGAGTACACAAAAAGAAGTGCAAAAACTCCGATTGATCTTGCAGCTTCCATGACCAGAATAATAATAATAATAACAATAATAAAACTAGTTCTTCAATTGCTTGTTCACCAAATTTGGAATGACTATTAGAAAAGTGGAAAATAAAAAAAGATCAATAATTAACAATCAGTACACTAGTTTTGCTGATTCTGATGATGATTCTGCTTGTATCTTAGAGTTGAAATGCAGGGAGTTTCAGTCAAACACGGAAGTATAAAATAAACCGGCTGGCCAAAAAATATTAAAAAAATAATTGAATTGATGTGATGATGACTTGACAAAATAGTTGACTAGACTACGCAATAATAGCGAAATAACAAGATGGGAAAATAAATATGAAGACTAGTCTAATCAAAGAAACAAAATCGATTTTGATGAACAGTAAGCTTAGAGTCGGCATCCCAGGAGTTAAAGTCACCACTGAAATTTGAAAAGACATAAATGTTAGGAAACGAATCAAACAAAAAATAAAAATAACCTCATGATAGAAAATTTATATAATTTGATAATATGCTTACTTCATGATTTGTATTAAAAATACTTATTAGGTTTTTCAATCAGCTATAAATATAAGAGATAATATTCATATTTATAGCAATATCGTCGTACTCGGCTCCGCATAGCACACTAAATTATAGATCACATCCACATTAGTCTTTACAACTTAATAATCTCTCGTGTGGAAGCTGATGTCCAAATAGGATCAAAATCTCGTAATTGTCACTTTTCTCAACCAACTTCAAGTCTTTATAGTGCAATGCCTTCTCATCATTAACCATGAAGGCTAACCGAGGCAATGTAAAACCTCAACTTATCATTAGTAACTCGTCTTAGTCAATATATCAGCTAGATTCTAGAATTTTGTTCAAACGTATTACCCTCTCATTCAATAACTTTCGGATATAGTGATACTTCAACTAAATATGTTTGGTTCTTGTATAAAAGATCGAATTCTTGGCAAAATGAATTACATTTTGACTATCACCGAAAAGCTCACTCGTCATCCTACGTCTTACCTATTTCTTTTAGGATGTTTGTTAATAAAATTATTCTTTACAACCTTCTGAAAAAAGCCATATACTCATATTCGAGTGGTGGAAAAAACAAAACACTTTTGAAGTCGAAACACCCAACTCACAATAGTACCTCCCAAAGTGAAAACATAACATGTTGTAATTTTATATTGTTGAGATCACCACCTAAATCTGCATCAACAAATCTTTGTAGAGTAGTAATATTCTTCTTAAAACAAATAGTCATACATGAAGTACCTTTCGGATAATGAAGAATCCACTTTACTCATTCCCAATGCTTCTTTTGTGGATTTGTCATGTACCTACCAACAACTGCCACTCGCATAAGCTATATCGAGTCTTTTTAAACCATAACATACATTAGGCTTGCAAGTGCCGATGCATAATGGATTCGTAGATATTTCTTTTTCCTCTTTAGTTATTTTTTATGATCTGTTTCTTTGAAAACCTAAGATGGCTTCCCAAATGAGGGTTTCGATATTCCTATTCCGAATGTTGAATCTGCTTAGCACTTTCCGAATGTATTTTTCTTAAGATAACTTTAATTTACCTTCGACCTACCGTTATTAATTCTCATCCCAAGTATCCGCTTTATAGGTTCCAAATCCTTCATCTCAAACTATTATGCTAATTATTGCTTGAGCTTATTGATCTTTTTCAAGTTAGATCCCGTAACAATTATATCATCAACATATAAAAGCAAAATAAGATAACGAGTTATCAAACCTCTCAATATAACAACAATGATCCATCTTGCATCTATTGAAACCGCTATCACATATGAACCCATCAAACTTCTTTTACCATTGCCTAAGAGCTTGCTTCAAACCATATAGACTTTTTTGCAGCTTGCACACTAGTTTCTCCTTGTTTGGAACTTCAAAGCCTTTTGGTTATACTATGTAGATGTCTTCCTCAAAATCAGCATGTAAGAAAGCGGCTTTTACATCTAACTACTCTAGATAGATATTTTTTGCAACAACGAGTCTTTATCACTGGTCTAATAGTAGTCATCTTGACTACAGGAGAGAAAGCCTTGATGTTTTCAATTCTCTCTTTCTATTAAAAGCTCTTTACTTATAGCCATGCGTTGTATCTTATACTATCATCATACTCTCCTTTAACATGTACACCCACTTATTATGTATAGCCTTTTTTTTTCTTTTGGTAACATAGTTAAAGTCCACGTCTAATTCATCTCAAGAGACCTTATCTCTTCTTCCATGGTTAACTCTCACTTAACGAATCTTTTATTTGTATTGCTTCATTAAAGAATTTTGGTTCTCTAGCATCAATCATAAGCAAATAATTCAATGAAGTTGAATACCTTTGAGTGGGTTTGTACACTCTATTAGATCTCCTTAGCCGATGAGTAGGAGTTACTAGTTTTGGTTTAGTTTCAGTTTTCCTTTGTCATCAAAATTCTTAATTCTAGATGCATCATTCTCTAAGATCTCCTTTAATTCAGCTTTCTCATTTATTTTCAACTCGGTTTCCTGCATTGTTAGAATTTATCCCAAGCCTATCCTTTTATAAAACATTCTCATTAAAATTCAAATCTCTATGCCTTATGATCTTTCTATTATGATAATTTCAAAATTGATATAACCAAAATCATTATAGCCATAACCAATAAAATAAAATTTTCTATTTTTAAGATCAAGCTTTTATCTATCATCGGATCCGATATATAAATATGAAATACAACCAAAAGTTCTCAAGTGTAAGAAATTTACCTCTTTTTCTAACCATACTTCTTTAAGTAATTTAAAGCCTAATGGAATTAAAGGTCCTCTATTTATAAGGTAAGTTATGGTATTCATTGTATTATCCTAGAATGCTTTAGGCAAATCGAATGTAATTTCATTCTTTTTGCTCGCTTATTTAATGTTTTATTCATCCTTTTAGCAACACTATTTTGCTCCGAGTGTCATATAAATTTTCTTGATCATTCTAATCTCATTGTTTGAACGAGTAATCTTTACATTAAGTGCTAACATACTCTCCTCTCGTTGTTTGACTTTAAGGCTTTGATCTTTCAACTAGGTTGATTTTTAACATCGATCTTCTACCTTTTAAATACACCAAACACATTAGATTTATTTTTCAAAAAATAAACTCATACCTTTACGGTGGAGGCATCAATAAAAGTTACATAGTATCATGAGCCTTTAAGAGAAGTCACAAGGGCTAGTCCCTATACATTTGTATACACCAATTCTAGCTTCTTCTTTTTTTCCTTAAGGATTTACTAGACTTTAAAAAATGAACTCTCTTCTATTTTCTATAGATACATGCCTCACATAAGCTAATATAAACATGTGTTAGTTCTTGTAATTTTCTCTTTGATGCTAACTATTTCAAAC